CAGAAGACGCAGTAGCTGCCGGTGTCGCTCTTCGTCTTCTATATATATAATATTATCGTCGTCAACAGTTCAAACAGACGATACGCTTTTTTATGTTTTTTTTCTCTTGGGTGAGGGTAGAAATAAAAATATTCATATATCGTATTATGAATTAATTACGTCGTCGACTAACTGTTATTTATAATAAAGTTATATAACTTTTTTAGATTTAGATATGAAGATAATTTTTATAATGAGGGCTCTGTTATATTGTTCGATCATTATATCGTAGTTTAATGGAATGTAATTAAAGAAGAGGGCGTCGACGACCGCACGATGAAGGCTATGGCGCACTCATCAACTCTAACATAGCGACACGTCGCTGCGGGAGGAGCGAGCGAGCCGCGCCCGCGAGTATGTACATCTTTATGTCGCGGGCCGCGAAGTAGCGGGTGGGCATTGAGTTGATAAATGCGCGATAATCTTAACTCGAGGTTACAATGCAGTGAGCCCAAATGTAGATATAGCTGTACCATATGCGTCGATGATTGTCTTATTTGTGCTTAAATAAAAATTAAAAAGTTTTGCGAATGATTTTTATTGTAACGTTTAGATATAAACTAGGTTTTGATAAGCAACGCGGCTCCGAGGCACACATGGTCTATGTCGCATTTGCTCCGTTTGAATTGCAGATGGCTGCTCGCGCCGCGTGACGCTCTCTGCGCGGGCCAGCCGCTCGGCCCCCGACCTCCACCACCTCCCAGACCTCCCACTACCACCCACTACACTCATGCAGTGAGTACACTTGCAATGAGCATGGAGATTATAACAAGCCAGAGTCGCCGTTACCCATACTGTTTAATGTTCCGCCATTTACAGCGTCGACTGTTTACATACTCTTCCACATATATTTATAAATAACCAAGCTTGAGCGTTTAGGATACAAGACAGGCCTGTTTGAAACTTTACGAAGGCATTTTTGTTTGATATAATTAGTCATGACATATTTAATATAACAATATTTTAACAGCAATAAAACGATATTGTTTCCATTTTTGTTTAGGATCTTCGAATAATTAAGATTTCTATTATTTATTTATTTAGATAAGCGGTAAGACAATTTCTATTATGTTAAAACTATTCCTTCTCTAACTGTCTCAAGAGAGTGCATTGTTAAAAGATTGCTACATAAAGTCATCTAACCGACAAACGAAGTCTGGGGTATTTCCTACTTACATTATGAGGTACAAGTACTTCCTTTACAATTTGCGTTTTCGTTTAAAAAAAAAAAAAGAATTTCTGTTTAATGTGGTCATATTACCTTACTGGTAACCCTAAATGCTCAGAGGCGCCACCCTGTCAATGTCAAAAAGATGCCACAATTAGTCTTGAGATTAATCGGACATCTGCAAGTGCGCACCGTACTAGTACAATTGGGAAAACGTACTAGTACACACATTTAGTACCTTTAGTACTTCAGATTTGTGAGAACACAATACATGAATAGAATATAACGAGGGTTATATATTACTTCAGATCAAATTTACAGCAGGGTCAGACATATGTTATTGGCGAAAATAAATTTAAGTTATAAATAATTTTATCCACTTTTGATTCTCACTAACGAAGGTGGATGTTTCAATCTGGCAAATTTTCAATCAAATCAAACAACGAAGAGGCGAACACCGATATCGTGTAGTCTAAAAGTACTAAATGTCCGGTTAACAGAAGCCGTTCGGTAACGTTACTTTTAGTACAGTGTCGAGTAAGTAACATTACTTTTTAGTACATCGTACGTGTACTACCCAAGACTAGCCACAATATCCTTGCGGGACTTCATTTGTAATTTAATCGTAAATTATGTAATGTAAACTATATTTTTCGAAATTCACGTTCGCCGATTATAATTGCATATCATACGCGTTGTATTTTATAGTATAGTTCTACAAGATTCTTTTGGCAGCCGGCAAATTTTTTTAAATAAAAAATTACATTTAATGTCAGGGTAATAGCGACAGTTTGTCAGTTCTCTTCGCCTCTTTATGTATCATGTGTCGTTTTTTCATGTTATTCCATGAAAAGAAGTGATGAAAGTGTTCAAAAGTAGTATCAAAGAGGTTTTCTTCAAAGGTCTCCCCCTCTATCGCGGAAAAGAAGTAATTACATTTAAAAAATCAATTCTTTTATGGAGTATTAAATAAGAGAAGAGGGAAAACAATTGCTTTTGCTATGGTGTTAAACACTCGAAATTTATCCTAATAATTCTATCTTGGAAATCTATCAATCCGAGGATGACAGTCTTTACTCTTCTGGATTGCGTGTAGGGTAGTAGTAGAGATGTACCTTTTCAATTATCTTTTAACTTATTTGTTAATTTAACGCAGGCGCTGTTTTAAAGTCGTTAAAACACGGCATTGGTGGCTGTTAAGCGACATACGCTTTAAAAGCAATCCTGTTATATTCACACAATACTCAAAATGCAACACTGCTCTGTACGAAAAAGCGCCCTGTTTTAAAGGCGCGACCAAATAAACAAATACGTTTTTTTTGATTAGAACTAACGAAATTGAATTAAATGTGCCGCGAACCAACAATGCAGTGCCACCGATGCAGAGGTAGTGAAAGGCATAGTGGGCAGCCGCAGCCGCCCACAACCTCGCACTTCAAAGTGAAAAAGTTCCTTGAATATGCTGTGGTCTATTTCTTAGGATTAATAAAATTAATAGACACACGTTTACATTGCATTACAATAACTAAAGTTGTTTTCAATTAATACAGTTTATTTTTATGTACCAATTGGCATAAAATGGTATTAAATGAAAGTGGAGCTTTTTACAACACGACAATGTAAATTGAATTAAAATCGGTTAAGCCGTTTTTGAAATTAGCGCCCACAAACACACAAAGTAACAAAATTTAAACTCCTTTGCGAGTTAAGGAAAGGAACGGGTTGTATTTAGTTATATACCTAAGTAATGTTTATACTTAATATAATAGTCATAAGTCACAAACACGACATATCCTCATCTTATATTATGCTTAATTTTTAACAGTAACACATTATAATGAAGAGCTCGCAGTCGCCTTATTCCGCAAACAGAAGGCGCGGTTGTGCCGCGTACTGGCCGCATGCTGGTCGCGTGTTGGCCGCGTGTTGGCCGCGTGTTGGCCGCGTGCTGGGCGCATGCTGGCCGCCGTCAGGCCGCGTGCTGGCCGCGACACATCCGCCAATAGCGCCCTTGCAAAGCTACCAGCTCTGCGTGCGTACCACGCTCTATTATCTTACCTAAAAATTTCATCACATTTACGGAACTGTTACTGTTATAGTTATAACAGTTAATTTCATTTTGGTTTGTCATATATGCGAAGAGGTTTAGCCGCGATATAGTCATCTATCATCAAACGTGTAAACCCAGGACAAAATCTCGATACGTTCAATATAGACCAAGGTCGGCTGAGACCTTTTCGTGTCCGAGCAAAATGTATATAAAAGACAAATGAATATCCAAATAGTAACTTTCAACTTTAAGTTTGCATTAGGTTTATGTAACGTGTAATGGCCATTGCAACATTTGCAACATTAACCTTGGTCCAAGACGCAAATGAGGTCGGCGTCCTTAATGGTGGAGAGGCGGTGCGCGACGGTGACGCAGGTGCGGCCTTCCGCCGCGCGCTCCAGCGCCCGGGTCACCCCCTGCCGCAAACACATTAAACAAACTCATATAAGCAAATGTCAATGGACACACCTATTATCTTCTCAATCGTGTTACATTTCATGTTCATACACGTTCTGACACATATCTTTCTCCAAGTAATGTCATCTTATCTTTCAGTCCTTATCTTGGAGTCGCCGAAACGTAATTTAATATGTGAAATAATTGCATAAAGAAATTCTATATAATCTTTTAACTGAATCTAATTAATAATTAATAATCTCTTTACTTTAAGATTATTAGATCTCTGCGTACATTCACGCAAATTACGTAATAGAAGCTATCCACCAAAGTCTTGGTGAACTATAACATAAAACGTGTTGACGCATTTATATAACAGTTTTTCGAATAATGATATGTGTAGACGAGAATGAGAGATAATGAGGTGGGAGAGATGGGAGGCATGCGCACCTTCTCGCTGTTCGCATCGAGGGCGGAGGTGGCTTCGTCGAGCAGCAGCAGACGCGGCCGGCGCAGCAGCGCCCGCGCGATGCACACGCGCTGTTTCTGTCCGCCCGACAGCTGCGCACCGCTCGCGCCCAAGCTCGTCTCATAGCCCTGCAAAGTGCGCTCGGAGGTCTTAGCCCGGACCTGGCTAACAAAGCGACGGCAGACCAATGCCCATATATAATGCGTCGTCTACCTGCGGCAGGGTGAGAATGAAGTTGTGTATGTCGGCGGACTTTGCGCAGGCGATGATCTCGTCCATGGGCACGTCGCGCGCCGTGTCGCCGTATGCTATGTTCTCTGCGAGCGAGCGGTTGAAGAGTACGGGCTCTTGCTGCACGACGCCGAGCTGCCGCCGCAGCCGCACCAGGGAGAGTGCTCCGCGTGCGTCTCGCCCGTCCAGCTCCTGCGACAACCGACATGCGTCGTCCAGTGCACGGCAAACATCCGAAAACATCGTGGTTATCTAACCCACGGCCTAAATACCCTTTAACTTCTAGGGTGGGATAGTACGCCTGTGGCCTGAAGTTCACTCCTCACATCACATCACTTCACATCCTCCTTGCATTTAGAAGCAAAGCGAGGAATGTGTGACCGGCGCTCCGTTTTAAGCTTACGATTGTGCCGGAGTCGGGGTCGTAGTAGCGCTGCAGCAGCTGCAGCACGGTGGACTTGCCACAGCCAGAGGAGCCGACCAGGGCCACGGTCTGGCCGGCCGCCACCTTCAGATTAATTCCTTTCAGAATTCGCTGATGCGGCCGCGTGGGATAGCTGAACTCCACGTCCTTGAAGCTGAAGCTGCCGGTGGCCGCCTGGCAAAAAACGACTGAGTTTAATTTGAAAGTTCGTAATATCGACCTCTCTACTTCGCTTCTATCTATCATCTATCATTGAATATAATAATTACGAAACTACGAGTATATGTAATATTGGAAAAAAAATTAGAACATGATGTATTGATGATAACGAAAATGTTTTGTCTTTTTGTCTCCATACAATTATGCGCTTATCCCAGGTACCTAATGTTCGAAATAGTCAAACCTATATTAACGGGTACCTTATGGATTACTTTTTTAATTCTGTGCTGAGCGACATGCTCATCATATAACAGTGGTAGAGCCCTTTTCTTACAAGGAAAAGATAGGAAGGGAAATTGGATTTGACGGCGACGCATAGTATGGGGAAATATTCTCTTAGTCCATACGATTTCTGTAATCGAGTTGTCGAATTCCAAATTCATAAGATTTTGAGTCACGATTACCCAATTTTGATCGTCTTTTACGCCTTCCTCAGTCTTGACTTTGGGCTCCCTGTGGACCACGGACAGTATTCGGGCGCAGCAGGTCTTGGCGCCGGCGAAGCCCGGCGCCATCACTAGCGCCTGACCAAGCATGTACGCGCCGTACATCAGGGCGCCGTTCACCCTGCCAAACACCCGTATCTCACTCACAACGCACTTATTTCATTAAGGCATTGAAAATGTTATAAATAAAAAACACCGACAGCATAACGTTATTGTAGGCGAAACCCTCGCGCGCAACGAGCGTTGCGCCGTACACCATTACGCTGCAGAAGATCATGAAGGGTACATAGATGTCTAGGCCGAGCACTAGGCCGCGCCACCAGCCGGCCGGCGCCACGGCGGCATGAGCCCGCGCCAGCGCCTCTTCGAATCGCTTCAGAAAGACACGCTCCACTCCTGTAACACACAAAATAACGACATCCTTCCTGTCAGCCGCCCGAACTGTCAAACGAGCAATAATATTCATAATAACTATAATTGATATGAATAATTTTAATCGGTCATGATCTGTATCTGCGCAGCCCTGGGGGAAGGATAAGGAAATAGGTAAAGTGATCGACCTAAGCTTTGCACGGTGCGGATGCTGACGATGGCCTCCGTGGCGATAGCGGTGGCGTCCTCCATGGCGGCGCGCTCCCGCTTCTGCGAACTCTGCGACCCCAGCCGCTCTAAGAAGATGCTCGCGAACATCTGCAACACGCCGCTACTATAAATCCTTTAATACGGTTTTGTTTTCATCAGTAAAATAATTTCTTCTTCCAAGAAAAAAGAGGCGAAGTCAATTATTGTGGTGTCCCTCTCGGGATGTTCTAGTAGCTGTCGGCGAGTCTGGTGAGCACAGAGCGGACTTACGACTGGCAGGATGGCCGAGCTTCCAGCCGTAGCAGAAGGCCATCACGACACCGATGAGCATGGAGCTGACGCCCTGCAGCACCAGCCCGAGGCGCAGGCCCGTTGCTGCCTGTACCTCGGCCGCGTCTCCGCTCAGCCGCGCGCACACCGCACCCACGCGGTTGCTTGCCTTGTCGAAGAATCCCACCTCCTATAAACGGAATTCTATTTAGTTATGTGGGTATATAAACAAGCGGTGCAAGCCTCCCAAAAACTAACGCCAATCTCCGCCCGCCACTATAAGATTTTTCACAAAATATTGTGCCCGGGTTCCCAGTGCAGTTCGGTACTGTGGCGATGTGGTAATGTGACGAAATGGGGATATGGCTATATGACCTGACGCAATATTGCGGAGAAGTACTGGTGACGTAGCCTGTTAGTTAGACGCAGGCCAGAGTGCGTGAAGGTGGCATTCTGCAGGAACATGGCAACAGCCGCCACGGCGCCCACGAGCGCGCACATGCCCGCGAACAGGTCCGCTTGCCGAAGCACCTCGCTGCGCTCCGGCAACACGAATATCTGCCAACAGACTTAATGTTAAACTCCTTTCAATGTGAATATCGAAATACCAAGAATTACTTTTATCTATTCATTGACCAAGTTTTATTTGCGTAGTCAGCAGGTTGTAAATAACTGACAGTCGGCGGCAGGAAGGTGCATTTCTCAGTTAGTGCGAGGTTGGCCAACTAGCGGTGAAGTGAACGCGGCGCGTACTTAAATTAAGGTGTAGGAAATTAGACTGGGCCATGTCTAATACATTTTTCAACTTGACATAAGTTAGAAACAGTGTGAACTAGATCTATTGTGTCGCCTTCGCTTCGCCTCTACAATTCTTTGTTACATGATTTATGTATAAGTGTAATGTTACTGACCCCGGCGGCCGCGCCCACCAACCACGCCATCACGGGGAAGCAGGCGCCTTGCACTACGGCCGCGACTGCGCCCAGCAGCAGCGCTGACCACTCCGGCGCGTTCAGCCGCAGCAGCTGCCAGTCGCTCATCGGCTGCACCTCCTGCACTCACACAGACTCACAAGCATGCTCCCGCCTCACCGCCTCACCGCCTCACCGCCTCATCGCCACATCTATTACCTCAATAACATAACGTTTTAGATGTTTATTGAGAAGTTACGATTATACAGAGTAAAACAGCGACAGACAATGATCGTCGTCCGGCATCGCCCGCGTCCTCTGATTCATTTAAGGCCCATTCCCTATGTTTCCTTGTTTTGCAGACTCACAGCCAGACCATAGTGCTTCATCTTCTTCATTTTTGAACTTAATAAACAATAGGGATCTCGGCTTAAATTACCACCAGTATCACTTTTAAGTTTTCTTTCATTGTCTTTGTTTTAATGTTTTGTTTAATATCTGTACCCTAATTTATAGTTGTAATTAACTAATGAGCTGGTTAACGTTAATAGATAGTTAATGTAACTCACACTTCGTAAATATTACGGTTATTGTAAATATTACTGTTACTAATAATTTTAACTTTAACGATAACCTGCGATACGACATATGATCAAGGGCGGATCCAGCTTTGGCGTCAAGTCAGAAACTTATAATTTAATTTTGATAACAAGGACACAAGTAATTTATTATTGTGCGTAAGTATTGCATTTAGCATCATTATGTTCGTTCTTTGTTGTACACTTGAAAAACTTAACACATAACAACTTGTATACGTAATACAGTATCCAGTCTGCGTGTTTGTGGGCGCTAATGTCGTGTTGTTATAAGCACCACTTAACATTTAGTACCATTTTATGTCAATTGGTGTATACTGTATACTGCCCACTTTTCTCATACCTTTCTAGAAAAAGAATACATTTCCAGGTTTTTGTTCAAACGATAACGCTTTTCAAACGGGGCTCTTTTTTATATCGCGCAGTGTTGCATTTTGAGTATTGAATGTGCATACCAGAGGGCTAACCTTGTCTACTTTCCTTTACCTTCAGTTAAAAGAATACCAGGGCATTTTTCTATAAGAGACTTCTTGTTAAATGAGATAGATAATATGATATTTATGCCACTAACTTCGTCCTCGTCGTAGACCTCTGTGTCAGCGGCGAGCGGCGCGGCGAGCGCGCCGGACGCGGCCGAGCCGGCGGAGCTGCGAGCGCTCGGCCGCTCCTCCGCCTCCCCTGGACAATAACTTATTCCTTTCCACAGAACCCACGGCACGGGACTGGTCAATAGTGACATACAATCGACTTGCGTTGTAATTGTTTTATCTGAATTATGGCACTTCACGGGAGACACAACTTCTGTGTCTCGATTAATGCATACTACATTACTATACAGGTGATTCTTAACGGACGAATGAACGGTTTTGTGGAGTTAGAGGACCACAGTCACAATGGCTATCTAAAAACAAAGTTTGTTGCCCGATTTTGTAAACTTTTAAAGTTATTTAAATTTTTGTAAAAAAAAAACGGCAAAACCAGATTTCCGACATAAATTTGACCGTACGTCCAAAATAACATGTTTACAGTGGTCATTTTTTTTTTCTTTAACGAGCCTAATAATTAGGCTTTTGTACCGTTATCCCTTTTTTGGAATAACTCACACGAGAATTAAATAAAAAAAGATTATTGTAAATTTTCTTAAACCAAAATTTCTTTCTTCAACTTTGAGAAGCTGTAACTAAATTTTTTTACACCAACTTTTTACCTACAAGTTTTATCAAAAACTGCTCCCATACCTGTAGAATAAAACAAAAAAAAACTTTTTGCCTTTCATTTGTTTTTTATGTAAAAAGAACGATTTGAAATAATAAAGGGCGACAATCTCTTGCAACTTTCATACAAAACATATGAAAACATAATTTTTCGAAGAAATCTAAGAAGCAAAATTTTTAATACTCTTCATTAAAACATTACTTGTTACTTAAATAAAAAATATTAAAACTGTTGATTTTTGTTTACTTTCACATTACAATGCAATTTGAATATAAACCTACCCTCCGTACTACGATAGATCAACTTAATGTCATGGATGTTATCATCTGCATATTTTTAAAGAAAATGAGTATAAAGCTGTAGTTTCTTTTGTGGAATGTAATGTTTTATTGAAAAAAGTTAAATATCTAAACTTGTTTGAAAAATTTGATTTTCGTATGTTTTGTATGAAAGTTGCAAGAGATTGTCGCCCTTGATTATTTCAAATCCTTTTTTTTCATGAACAAGTTATTTAAAAAACTTCTACGAAAAATGTTGGTGTAAAAAAAAATAGTTACAGCTTCTCGAAGTTAAAGAAAGAAATTTTGTTTTAAGAAAATTTACAATAATCTAATAGGAAAGTTACCATAAGCTACATACTGCTAACATTAAGGAAGGAAGGTTATTATAGTTTGTCTAAATAAGATAGATTAGTTTGATACATGACGCATATGTATGAAGTATCGAATTCAATTTGTATGAAGGCAAATGCCATACTTAATAGACAGGTATCGTAGTGACGAAACAAACACGCAGCGAACAATTATGAACTATCGATATTCGGTTTAAATAATTATCGGACTCAACTAAAATTACTATTTTCTTATTAACTAATTTAGAGGACAATTCTAGCATTGATAGTGTAGAGATTTTAGCGATGCAAAAATAATAGCGAAATCCAATTCGACTACGTATGGCTGTAGTAGTAATAAACATTTACTTACTCTCACTATTTGTTATGGTCATTATTAACATGAGAAAACAGTGTTTTAAAACTATAAATCTATCCATTCCAACTTTTATGAGAATAAAAATCGAAAATCGATAAGATTTATGACTGATTATACACAACCCATCCCTACTAAATTTGGAATGAATTGTCAAACTAATCTAACTTATTTAGACAAACTATAAGGTAACCGTAGTCGTGAGATTTGCAATTGAAATTTGACAAGTGTAAACAACGAAATAAAGTTTTTATAATTTGAAGCGGATGAAGCCGCACGTGAACAGCTAGTATTTGATAAAACGTAGTATAGATTAAAGATAGACTTTATTACGTGTTATCCCGATGACTTGATTCAGTTTCAGAGGTCTGAGTGACGTAGGCGCATACCTCTGGCTGGGTGGTGGGGGTGGTGCGGGAGGTGGGG